GTGTTTGCGCGTGTGTGTATGTGTGCGTGTATGATGTGTGTGTGTGTGTGTCTGTGTGTGTGTCGTAATTCAGCATTAAAATAATGGGTTTATTTGTACATGTATATATAATATATACAGGAATCCCTCAATTAGTGCCGGATAATGTGTTCATCGATAACTATAAAAAATCAATTTTCAATTACTATGATTAAACTGAAGAATGTTTTACCGCTCTAGTCGAGTATTATGTATGCACTAATCGAATTTTGGTATATGAAAATTTTGCGCACTAATCGTAAACACTTTAATTGAATTCGCATTAATGGAGGGATGTCTGTATATAGAAGATATTTTAAATACACATATACATATATCAGATTATTAGTAGTTAACAGGATGACAAAATGATAACAACTATTTATTTAAATAAAAATGCATTAAAATTACCATAATATATGAATTACCTACGATTAATGTTATTTCAGTTAATCCCATATTTTTATTAGATTAGTACTCAAACAAAGTGGGATACGTAAGAGAAGACCCTATCTTAGCATTTTGCCCCCCAAATATTCCGTTATCGTTATCTTGTACATACACACTAAGTAGGAAATGTAACCGTAGGGGACACTGTCGGATTTCGACATTCGACATCCCGAGATTGTCATCAGAAAGATGAAAGCAACAGATATTGCGATGTAGCACGGGAGCCCTTAGACCTGAAAGGAGTTTAAACATAGCTATCCCTTGCCCAGCTAGATTGATACACGGGTGAGGAAGTACTGACAAGTGATAAAAGATAATACAGTAGACGTACGAAACCCAAACTTCAATAATCAAAGGGAAGATAACTTCGCGTTTCACAGATTAACTGTTACGGTATTTTTCCAATACTTCCGACTAATTCTTCTTCAGACTCAGAATAACTTGCACGGTTCATCCGTTCAATTGTAGTAACCGGGAAGAAGATATTTTCCCCACGAACTGGAAACCAATTAGCTTATCGCGGTTAATTTTAACACCTGTTATCGGCTTATGAATTTCCTTGTCTCCAAATTCAGTGTTGACACTTCTTATTACAAGTACGAAAATATCATCAACATAGGCAGAGTAAATCGCCGAGATGTAGCTAACAGGAGAGCCGTGATGAATTTATTGGTGTTGGGCTACCTAGAAAAATATAATGGATGTGAGGATATTGATGGCATGTGTCCCATAGACCCTTGGTCCATCTCAGTCTCAATGGAGACATCCTGAGAAAAGACACGATGTTTTTCGGAGAGTTAAGTTTAACAACCCTATAAAAAGAATAGTGAATATATCAGGAGACTATCCAGAAACAGAACTAATCTTTCCAAATTCTCTTTGGTGGAGTCGGTCAATGGAGGTGACATTTCAAAGATGTCTTACTCGTATTACGTGTATGTATTTGTGTCTTTTAGGCTTCTTTTTCCGTTCGTGGTTACTACTTCCTGTGAGAGAGGAGATTCTCTGTATTTTAAATCTGATTGGTTTGACTGTAGAAGGTGATGGAGAGATGAAAAGGAATATTTTTACAAGGAAAAGGAAATATTTTGAAAGGAATAGAAGATTTTACGCAAGAAAGGGGTGATTTCGAAGCAGTGGAAGTTTGTGAGACAGAAATGAGTGAGAATGGAGTGACAAGTATAGTAAGTTTCTTTTGGGGAGTAATTTTATCTGCAATAATGAATGTAGTGGTGGTGATGGTGGCTGTAAGATCATTTTGGGCGAGACAGGGTACCGGATGAAGCAATCTCTTCTACTGGCCTTTCCTTTTGTGTGTCTAGTTTTTTCGTCAATACAAGTAATTTTTCTTTTGTCCTTCTCCAAACTGGCACTGCCTACACAGCTTTTGACGGGCACGGTGTGACTTTAGGTTTCTCCCCTGGGACTGTACATGCTAAAAATGAGCGTCCGCAGTGCTTGTATCCCACGTCCTTAAATTTCCTACCACCACATTCCACTCGCTCTCAGACGTAAATTTGTACGAAGAGAGCGTAACGACAATGAACCCCAGCTTCTGGCCGAAGCTACTACTGCCCCCTTTTCTATTGCCTAGGTATATGTCAAGGTAGCGCGTCGATCAGATGCTGATTTATCAACAGGGGCCTTCTTCCTGGATAATCTATAGAGAGATAACCATCTTAGGAGGCACGGTGGAGTAATGGATAGCGGCTTGGATTGAGGAATCGGAGAGCCGAGTTCGAATTCCAGTCGAATCTAATACCCTTGGGAAAGGTGTGAATCCTCTTCTTCTCCCCCCAGCTATGGGTAAATAGCAGGACAGACTGGGTTCTATAGCCTTGGATGGCAAATGGTCTAGGAGAAGGAAAACTCTGAATTCAAAACCTGTCGAGGGTCGTTTGGGGACCTTGTGGCACGTAGTGCACCAGGTCTCTGTAATCGGCCCTTCAAAAAGTGTGGATGATCCTGCACGAAACCTTCACCACTATAATCACATCTCATGTGCTATACATGCGGGTTGAGGACCGCTTGTGGATTCCAAATTCCTATGAAACTCCAATATTAGAGCCGGCTCAACCCATCTCGGGTGAATGCCGTTACAAGAACAAGAAGATGACCAACTTCTCAGCATGCCGGTCTTCTTCGTGAGTTAGCTTCCGGCCTTCAGCGTCCAAGAGTTTTGGTATGGTGCTGAATGCTTTCTTATCGATCATAAAATCGAAAAAACACTCACTATGGCCGACATATCCCCATATTGCAATGAGAAGGTGGCATAATGCGTTCCCAAAATAAAATTTCTTTTATGTCTCCTAACTCTTTAGGATGTGGGTTCGCCAATACTTTTTGCTTTTAGTTGCTCTGAGTAACTTTGACTTTTCACCACCCTCTTTTTCCTTGTTTTGTCATATATTCGTTCAAACTTAGATTACCTGCTGTTATACTCCACTTTTCTTGCCTTGAATATGATGTGAGTGTAAAATTGTCTATGCCCCTTTTCCTCATTATATGTCAGAAGTGTTAGAGATTTTAAAAACAGCCACCTTTTGACTTTGATCTGTTTCTCTAAAAATACTGTCTTCGATAGGACGAAACACTCTTCTGTCGTGCTCAGCAGAATATCCCACATTGGAAAGGTGATGCATTTTATGGCCTGTTGCATTTTAATACAGATTTCTGACGCTGGCTTAATCACATAGTTTTTTTTGTATTTCCTGTCAACCATAAAGACATGATTCGTTTTACAATAGCCCTCAATTCAGTCGGATCCACCAGTAACCAATCCTTCTTATTGGGCTTGTCGCACGAACTCCACAACATGAATGATACATGGGAGTGGAGAATTGCAATTGTTTAAACGAGAGTCTCTATATGTTGCCTTATTCCCTTTATCTGTCTGGTTACTATTTTGTTCATTTTCTTTTGCTCTTTCATTTTTTCATATTTTATTTTTGCTTTTTGTCTTTTTACTTCTTGTCACTTTGGTTGTGTTTCTTTTTATTCCATGCCCTCTTAGTTTTGTTGTATTGTTATGTCTTTTTGTTTTGGTCTTTGTGAACATTTGTTTTTAGCTTATTTTTGTTTGTTTTTAAACTTTTCTCGACCTAAGGAATAAGGCATTATTGACGAAATTTACGTCGGTTATTTTCTCTTAAAGCAAAAAAACAAAAAACAAAAAAACAAAAAAAAAAACAAAAAAAAAACCTATTCTACTTTTCTTGCTACAAAAAAACCTGTTCGATCGTAAAGTGTACAATTAAAAAATAATCTTAATCGTCGGAGCCGGCAAAATTCCGATCTTCAGGTACTTCATTTTAGATGCGTTTGTGTGGTCAGTGTTCTGCCATATATATTGTGTCACGTGACTTAGTAATCAGTTGGTAACTTCTGATTGATTACTTAACCGTTTTAGCATTTATTAAAATAATGCACTCATAAAAACGTTCTTTGTTTATAATTTTAATATCTTAACTAATAAAGGTTAATATGAACTTAAACTTGCGTGGTTAGTATTCTATCTTATCTCTTGTTACGAATGGGATGAATTTCAAAATCACACTGAAAAAGTGCAAGTAATTTAAAAAAAAAGAAATATTAAGTGTGGATATTTTTGTTCAGTATGAAAGAAAATAATGTGTTTTATTAAATTATGCTAGCATCAACTCAGAAAACAATTGTGTTTTGAGTTTTATTGAATTATTTTTGGTAAGGTTTGGAATTAATTTTCTGTATGTTCACGCTTGCTATTACCTTTTCTTCTTCTTTTTTTTTTTACTGAAATAACATCTTCACCAAATTAAAAAGTACACACGTAATATCGAGAAGGAGATAGTGAAGCAGACCCCGCCCCAAAAATATTTCCACAAACTTTTCTAATAAAATAACCTAATAAATAAGTACTGAAATTTCGTTTGAACCCGATAACTCCCTGATTTTTGGCAATATTTTTTAAAACAGACGGTCGAGTTTTTGTTTTAATTTTGAAAAGAAGAACACATCTATTTTGGCGTAATCTTATTAGATCTATAATCACAATTTTAAATTATCTAATTTTTAATGCATTTCACACGATGCAATGAAAACATTTTCTCGGGATTGTATTTGTGAATAAGTCCGTTACCATGACAAAAACAGAAATTGCTTATCTGATGTATTATTTCCTGGCCAATAGAATTAATATCCGTGTGTGTATGAGAGAGAGAGAGAGAGAGAGAGAGCGAGAAAGAGAGACTGTGTGTGAAGGAGGGAGATAAACACGTGTATAAATACATATCCTAACGTCAACTTGCATTCAAAACGCAGTAAACTGTCAAGAAGTGTTGCAAAAAAACAAACAAAAAAAAAAAAAACAAAAAAAAAACACTTTATCCAGTCAAAAAATTAACAACGATGATCACTCTTTAACACAACCAGTCCTGTCTACTTTATCAATAGATATAGTCGATGTAACACCACCACCAACAGCAACAACAACAACGAATTGACTAACAAATACAACTATATAAGTGTCCAATATTATCAACAGTAAATTTGAAATGGGTTCTGGAACCGAAGAAAACTTTAAGCAAAATCTGACGATTTCGAATAGCAGCGAAAATGAAACTGAAATATACAAAGAATTGTCTGTAAGTTTTTCACAATTTTCCTTTAGTTTTCTTCGTAAGGTGAAATTAAAAACATAACAAGTCGTTCGACTATTAATTTCACTAAACTAAGTGTTTGAAAATAAATTATTGAATTTCAAGTGTTTGCAAAAATGTTTCTGGGGAATTCGAGATTATTTTTCGTTAGTAGCCACTTCTGTGGGCCCAGAACTAAAGTATGGAAGACTAAAAAGGAATTAAAAGATTAAACTGTACTATGCCCTATATTGCTAATGTTTCTTATTTCAAACATTTAAAAGCATTAGCTTCTTCCTCGAGTATAGCTGCAAAAATGGGAAAACGTTAGTAATGTGAAACCCAATTAAAAAGAAGGAAAAATGTTTTAAATGTTTTGACATCTATGATCAGATTGCCGTTAAAATTTGACTTACTAATATATCGAGTTTTTAGTCGGTGAGAAAATATAATACAAGTGCATCTTCCTTTTTAAGCGTCTGCATATTAAAATTATGAACGTAATTCGTTTACACCAATTTTAAGTGTTGAAGGAGACAAATATCGCCGAGTTTATACTTTTCTTTTTGACATTTCAGAAGCATAACACATTCATAGGGTTCCCAAATGTAAATATTTCTCTTCTCAATCTATGAAGTGGCACTGAAAAGTTGTTATTCTGATCAACTACCCCAAATTTGATCAAATATCTAAACATCGATATATATATATATATATATATATATATATATATACACTGATAGCAGTTTTGCACCTTGGCGCAAAGTAATTATTCACAGAACTTGTTTAGTATGTCATTACTAATGTGTAATCAGTTTGATTCTCACTGACTATATTATGCTCTTGTGCCAAGCTAAGCTTAGTAACACATTTATTTTTTATAATATCGTATTTTTTCATATTCAACATATTTCATATATACTTTCTTATATTATTAATAATATGAAGTTCACAATATGTGGGTAGTGTAGTAACAGACGTCAGAAAGAGTGACAGAAAAATCTGAAGACGTACAGGAATAGTGAAATATATTTTTCCGAAAATAAGCAAGGTATTGAAGAATCGAAAAATAAAATTAGAAAATAATAAAAACAGCTGATCCATTGTGCAATGCTTAATATTCTAGGTGAAATTGCAAGTTTTTTAACCGATGGAGAAAAGACCAAGATGTGATTTTTACTAACGAATATCGAGAACGTCACGAACATATTTATGTGACAAATGATGATATTTTAAGGGTAGAAACTATAAAAAAAAACTTTTGGCAAATATCAGAGATAGATAGATAGATAGATAGATAGATAGAGAGAGAGAGAGAGAGAGAGAGAGAGAGAGAGAGAGAGAGAGAGAATTCTGCAAACACATAATGAGTAAAGAAGGTTCGGAGAACTCATAGGGAAAATCAAAGTAGAGGAAATCAAAGGGGTAACCTACTTAAAAATTGAACAAATGGATGGACGAACGAGTATCACAGAAAAAACAAAGGCCGTAAATGAAACATTATGACGGGAAGCAACAAACAAGTAAGCTGTAAAAAGCTGTCAGCATCCGCATTCTGAAGGCACATTGAGAACATTTACATTCCAAATGGCAAATCTTAACTTTTCTCAACAATACTTTCAAAGTGGAATCATTTTCTCCAAAGATTTATGATCTAATAGATATGTGTTGACAACAAAAAAAGAACCCATGAGTAGTAGCTTAGCATCTAATTAATTAAGAGAGCTAAAGAATAGGAGTCATTTTTTTAATGTAGTATATGTTTATATAGATTCTATGTTCTGATAAAGCCTTTAAATTCACAGAGAAAGTAACATTTTTTTTTATTTATAGTTCATATTATTCTTGGGAGTCTGTCTAATATGCATGATATTTTATTAAATGAGCCCCCATAAACCCAACAGAAGAGGAAAATAAATTTAGTCATATATCTAGATTTTTATTTAATTATAATCTCCAACATATTTATTATATTTTACCGCTAATAATAGAAGATACAGAAGTCTAAAATTGTTTGAATTTCACAGATGTCTTATTAAATTCTTCACTTTTTCGTCTATTTTCTTTTTTTTACAGCGTTCAACTTGTTTTATATTGTTCAAATGCTAAAAAAATGATATTTTGGAATTTTTTACGAAATATAATTGCAATTGAAAATATTTTGATAATAATGTTTGAAGGAAAATTTTCATTCATATTTTAATGTATGCAAAAATTCTATAACTGGGTAGATTTTATGCTTTTCATGTCTGTCAGAAACATTTTACCTCGATGAACACTAAAAATGAAAGATAATGTCCTTTTAACACACACACATGCACATAGACACACACACACACATATATATTTGTCTATCTGAGTTTGTTTACATTTGTATCTTATCTATGAACCTACATGGATACTAGGGCATTAACAGGTTAGTTTTTAAGTTAAGATAAAAATTAAGATTTAAGTTGAATTTCAAAACTGGTTAAACTTACTTGCAGATTTTTACAATACAATGTTTAAATCGCCGAGTATAATTATGTATTTGTAAACTTTTTTTTATAAATTCACACTATGCATATCTATTTCATAGAATTATATGGGACTTTACTAAAAACATTTTACATTGTTCAAACTGGTGTATACGATTTATCAAATGCTAAAATGACCGTAATTTTCAGTCAGCACTCACAATCTCACCATTCATAGCGAGACTCATTAAAAGTTTGCTTAATTTCATTCATCAAGTAAAAACAGGTTATCAGGTCATATACAAAACACATAATTAGATAAAAGTGTGGCAGAAGTTTTTCATTGAATCTTTATCTGTTTTTGAGAGGAAGCACGCTACTATATCCTTGTGTGCGTGCTGGATTCGACATTTTTTTTTAGTGGGGAGAAAAGAGAGCATTAGGGACTGTTTTTAGTCTGAGCATTTTAAAAGTATCAGTTTGAGAATTGAGTTGTTTATATTCTATTTTGATTATATGTCATGTCCCTTCAGGACTTAGGTAACCATAGCTCTCCACGGGCACCCTTTTCTTTATTATATGTGAATTGTTATTATTTTGTTTTTTAAGATAATGTTGTATTTTCCCATTTTCGTCTTCACAGTTTTTAATTCAGAGTAGTCTTTCTCTTTAACTAAAACCATTTCAAACATTATCAAAACCCTACTATTTAATCCATTGTTGGGATGTGACGAGATAGATCCATAACTTTCTTTTTTATGTTTTACGTCTCTTCAGTACGTGTACGATCATAGCTGTCCCTTGTTACTCTAACTTTTGACTCTTTTACCATTCAAATTTTCCATCCATTTACCCAAAAGTCATTAAGTAGATTATATATTTTTCTCTCTGATCCTCCTTCCTTCAGTATGTCCTGATTTTCAAATCCTCTTTCTTCATTATGTGTCCTAGAATTTTCATCTTTTTTTTTCTGGTTATAAGTATAAGTGTCATCTAGTTCCTATTTTGTTTAGAACGTCCTTGTGGCTCACGTATTATCTACAATATTCTTAACATCCGTCTGCAGAACCACATTTTTGTCGCTTTCAATCTTTTCCGCTTCAAGGAAATTGACCAGTGTTCACTTCCGTACAGGATAAAAGATATTATAGCGTTCTCTTTTTTTCTTTATTTCAAGGAAATATTCCTGTTTTAATTCTTTTCTTAGTTTATGGAAGGCCTTTTATGCTATCCCGATGCACAGTTTGATTTATTGTCGTCTGTTACTATTCTACTCAGTTAAATTTCTGTACTTGCTTGATACTAATGTTTCCAATTCGAAGCTCATAGCTTTAGCTGTTTCTTTTGTTGATGTTCATGCAGCTTTTCTCATAATAGTCAATGGTTAGTTTTTCTTCTCACTTTTCTTGACGATCTTTTCTAAACGTTATTGATGTTTTCCTTCTGAGTATGCCATCAGTACAAGGTGATCCACTCATCTAATGTTGTTAAGATTATGGATGCCGATAATACATCATATTGAATTTTCTCTTTCTTCTAGGGTCGTCTCACTATATATGTTAAATAAATCTAGGTACCACCATGAAAAAAGAAGCCATACCTAAGGTTTAAAATGCAGTTAAAAAAATGAAAAATCTTTCTTGTATCTCTAATTGTAGTTTTAATTCCAATCTAATATATTATATTTAATATTTCCAATAAACAAAATACTCTATAAATTCGTTCAAATTCAAAAATCTTTCAACACAACATAACCTTCTTTAGTAAAAAAAATAAAATAAAAAAATAACGAAATGTACTTTTCTGAAGCGTTATTTCAGAAACATAAGCTGATTTAAAGTTTAATTAATCTGAATTTAAACAAATATTGCTTACGTTCAGTTTAAAATATCGCAGAAAGCATATTTTTAAGACGGGATGGTATTTTTTGACGTGATGAATGATCTGTTGACAGCCGGGTGCTTGGAAAATTTAAATAACAGGTGCATAACTGAAATAAAATTACATGACGAATATAACGTGAACGTCATTTTTATATATTTTTTAACTACTTAGTAATCTTTAAAAAATTAAATATTTTAAGCATTCTAATATTTTATTGAATTTCAGATACTTTGGTTTTATAGCCTAACTTATGCAGACCCTTGTTGAAAAAATATTCGAAAATTTCCAATAAATTTAAAATTAACTATAAGTACCGCTCATATTTTGTCATAAAAATTGACACGTTTATACACAAAAATTCAAAATTATTTTTAAAATACTGGAAGTCGTTGAATTATAGTAAGCTTTTCCATTTACGATTAATAAATGCAGTTTTTATTTAATAACAATATCACTTCACTGCTACAAATTAATACAGAATTTAAGATATTTAAAAATTTTATAAATTATTCTAATTAAAATTAAAAAAAACAATGAAAACAATTCGTGTAAAAATTAGATATTCATCAAATTTTTTTCTTAGCACAATGGTGCACATAATATATTTTATTCATAGAAGAAAATTAAAACCTTTGCTAATTAAATAATGTTTTAATATTGCAAGATTATTAACTAATATTTTCAAGGTTTTAAATCGTATAAAAATAAAACGTTGACATCAATAAGTCCCTATATGTTTCCTTTTAATAATAACAGAAAGATTTTGAAGATAAAACTTTGTTTTTATTATGTTTTGTGCTTTTTGTATCCTCTTTTTAGCTAATATTTGGAGGTACTAAAATAAATCCGATGTGAAAACGCATCCTTGTCTTGCTCCTCTTTCTATTTTTGTGTAATTACTTAATTTGTTTTCTATCCGTATGCAGTTAAAATTTCAAATCAAAATAATTGTGACAAAATACAGATTATTGATCCAACCTCATACGTTATAAATATGTTCTTTTCTGAAGTTACGCCTTGCAACTTTCCTTCACGAACAAATTGACAATTAATAAACTAAATTTCATTTCTCTGTATTAATAATATTTACAAATCATTAGCTGTGTACATTAGTTGCCAGCAGTTTTGAAAACTAGAACCTAGTTCACAAGTGGAAACCAGTTTTTCGTTGAAAACGTTTTTTTACACGCAAAATATCTGCATTGTAAATTTCAATTCATAAAGTTCAATTCTTGTTGACCACATTATATCGGTAAGACAAAACCCAAAATAATGCGTTGTAAAACGAAAATATTTGCAGTAAAATCGACATAAGGACAAATGGGAAATATCAGAAATCTGAAAGGGATGAGCCAAAAACAGGCTAGAAAATTACCGCAAGAACATTTCAAGAGTAAAACTAGCGGAATTGCAAATAAGAAGACACTGATATGGTTGCGAAGAGATCATTCGAAGAGAGAAAGTGAATCCTTAGTAATGGCGACACAGAATAATTCTATGAGTAAAAAAAATAACTATTAAGACAAAGGTGGAAAAAAACAGTAAAAAAAAGTAAATGTAAATTATGCGGTGAAAGATGTGAGGGCGTCATTGGTTTAAAAGATGTACAAAAGCAAATTTGACTTGGTGGGAAGAGTTATTCATTAAAGATTATAGAAACAAACATATAAATAAATGACACACGTACAAAGTTATGTTAATGAATGAAAATGCATACATTCAAATAAATCCCATAATTTAGGCCAGAAAATCTAGTAATTGTAAACAAGGAGAAAGAAAATTTTCAGATAGTAGATGATGTTATTTTAACAGATCATGTATCAAATTTGTATGAGAGTAATGATTTAAAATCAGAATACTGTCAAGAGTGGTTTAGTATTGAGGAGAGTTATTATTATTGAATCTCTTGAGGAAGCTACCAGTTAATATCTTTAACCAAAAATCCTTTGAACAAACTGTGTTTTGGTTTTTAGAACTTTTCGGATTATAGAATAATTATGGCCAGGACAAAAAACACGAAAATATGACTGACACAAAATAACACTGCACTTTATGGAAAATATACTAATAAATAATGTAGTATTGGAATAATTATTTCCATAAACACATGCAGTAGGGGAATGTATTTCTTAAAAGAAAATGAGATAAAACTTAAGTCATCTGACTGTCACTGGTGCACACGTCCTCTTGTGAGTTGCCACACCTAATACAAAAATTTAAAGATACTACACTCTCATACTACACTGTCTTTTATCGTGACAATGTTGCAAAAAGAGAGGTCGTTGATGTCACTATCGTGGTTGTCACGAAAGATCTGTGTGTTCGATGTTGATGATCGTAATGACGTTGCGTTCCTGTGACGAGCCTTTGTAAACATTTTTGTGAGTGCCGTCTGCTTCATCAACTTCGCTTTCTCAGTCAACAATCTTACTTTAATTGAATAAATTGACATAATTTCTTGCTCACTGATAAATTTGCGTTGTTCAAGCCCAGTAATTAACTGGTCACACGTTTTCATCAGATTGTCTATGGTTATTTTTTTTACTAGTTGTCATTACTACTGTATTCGTTCTTTTATGAATTTAACACCATGTTAACAATTTCCTGTCACTCAAGGAATGCACAACAAGTGCATCATTGTCAATACCTGCTCAGAACCGAGATTTTCATCCGATATTATCTTGGCAAATTCTCCTAAGTGATTTCCAACTACATCGTGATCAGCTGAAGTTTTAGATATTTTATACCATGATACTTCTTAAAGTTCTGCAGTCAACCTTCCATGTATTGACGCTCACTTTCAATGTTTATTTCATTTTATTATATTCTTGCTTGTTTCATGACCATCAGTCCATTCATAGGTATGCGTTCACTTCTCCGTTGCCATATCCGCTCTAGCAGTACCCAGTTAAGATATCCATTTTTTGCCTTATGCAGTATTTTTCTGGTTTTCATTTGTTTTTACATCGCTGTCACAGAGGAATTTCATTAACTTGTATTTCTGTTTCTTTAAATAATACAGTTGTAGTCCCGACACCGTATTCTTCAGTCAGACGCTGCACAGACACACCATGATCAAGCTTCTGTAGTAACTTTACTTTCTGCCTTATTGATAATGAAAGATGCTTCTTTTATTACTCTCCTTTGACATTCTCATAGTAGAATTAAAAACAAAATCCCAAAATTGGAAGCAAAAATAAATACCAGCTTGGTGATATTTATCACATGAGCGTTGACCAGCAGCTAATGTTGACTATACAGAAAGTTCGGCTGTGCCAACCGTACCCTCGAACCATCTATACTGCTACACCAAGCTTCGGACTCACCTTCCTTTACTCCATAGGAAAAAAGTGCTGTTTCAGAACATTTTGAACTTTGAATTGGACCAGTAGTACAAATTATAATACCAGGACATCGCCCAAGATCTGTAGAACCCCTAGAACATGAATATTATTGTCATACTCACAATAAGTGACATACTTTGAACATTCTTTCAAATTCAAGAGAGCAGACTATATGAATTTTCAAATCACGCAATGCTAGAGTCATTGAAAGTATTGCGGAAGGTGCTGGTAAATTGAAACGAATTTTAATCATTCAAGCTCCAGTTATTTCTTCTTAGATTGGTTGGTTTTATGACATTTCAACTCTTGTTGGGTTATTTAATAAATAATGTTGTATGTGGTACCAAGTGAGGATTGAATTCACTACTGAGCAGTAACCTTGCTTATCATTATCCGCACGCCGAGGTGCTATAAAGATATTGGTTTGACGAAAACAAATTAAAAAATTAGTTTGGTCAGTTGGTTAGAATTTGAGAAGTTGTTTGAGCCGAGAACTTTTCAGCACACCCTCGTACTGCTAGCATGAAAACTCAATTGGTATAATTAATAGTAATAGAACAAAAATAGGATTTAAAAGGTCTGTATTTCTGACCACGTTCTTATTTTTACGCCTTCTTATTTATTTTTTTTTTTTATAGCAAGACCAATCCATCCAGCTGGAAGACTATACTGCAGTATTGTGGCAAAAACCAACTTGGACGGTGCCATGCGGCTTATGTGGCTGCCTTCTTCCTTCTGAAAATGACAGTCATGTGAAACGTTACTACGAAGCCCTCCAACACACGCTATCTGAAACAGGACTCCCGGAAACGATTGATATGACCAGAGAAGCGAAAAAAGTAACGCGTGATCAAGTGACCATCGGAATACTATCGTCTCCAGTTGAATGTATGAGTATTCTATTGTCAGGTGGCGAACAATGTCCAGGCGACATGCTTCTTATTCTATCTCACAGTTGGTGTAGAAAACTACCATCGCCTAGTTTGGCAAATAAATATTCGCTCTATGTACACCAGGCTGTGACATTTCACAAAGGTTGGTACATTTATTTTCAACTTTAGTCTATATTAACAAAATTAATAATGATAAAAATGTTACCGTGTACATGATTAGTCGTGAGGAATTAAGATGGACTACAGTACCAATTTCTGTTCAGTACTACAGATTTACTTGTCGGTTGCCTGACCATAACCAATTGGGTATACCCACAAGAGATTGACGTACTGTATATCTATGTTCAAGAGAGAGATTAAGAAGACATCATAGTCTGGTGTCGAAAATGTTTATTTTTAAGTTTGAAGGATGAGGCAACTTAGAAGTCACACCTATCGGAAACTGCCCGAGCGGACTGGGTTACTTGACTCGAAAAAATTTCTAACTGGGTCCCATCTTCAATGTTAATCCCTCCTTTTATTTCACTATATCGCACATATTTAGCTGTGATGTATGTACCTGGTATACTCTTATAAGACTGGATGGCACGATGGCAATATATGGTGTTTCGTATATACCCTAACGTGCAAACGCTTTGAACCAATTACGTAACATGATTACACACCTTTATTTTATTGTGAAGTTAATGTTGTTTAGCAGAAGGTTAGAAAATAAGTTGTTTCGTTTTTGTATGTACCGTGTAACAGAAGATACATCACCTTAAGCAGCTTGAATCTGAATAGTCATGATAATATGAAAATTTCTAAGTAGGAATTGTTCCATTTTATTAACATTAGTGTTAGGTGCCTTGGCAAGTCATTAGCTTGATTTTTACACTAAAATCGTGGTTAAAATTTCTGATGAAATAAAAATGAAAGTTTGGACTTCGAAGTAGAAGATGATTCAAGGGATGATAGTAATTTAGATATGCAATTACAAAGTAACAGTCAGACAAGTGAAGAGTGAATGCAATGTGAACAGAAAAGTTTCGTCTAATACATTTCACACGAAAAAAAAAAACTTGAACGAACGTATAGCAGTAAAAAAAAAAACAAAAAAAAAACGTCGGGACAGAAGACTAAAGTGGTCAAAAAAATAATCTAACATAGAATGCTGGAAAGTGGCAAAAAGTAATTTTTGAGATTAATACAAACTAGTTATATTCTAATGCAAGAGAATATGCAAAAAGACAAATGAAAGAAAGAAACCATGCAAGATGTATCGCAAGTACGGTAAAAGCTGGTCACATAATGGCGTGGGGTTGCATCAAAAGTGATAGTAAAAAAAAATTTGTAAAGGCTGATAGAAACCTAAATAACGAAAACTATATTAGTTTACTACGGTCTAAGCTTCTACCAGATTATGAAGATGGAGAAATGTTTCAGCATGACAGTGTTCCTTGCCACACACTACGCACAACGAAAAGGTTTCTTGTGGATGAAGGTTTTAAACTTTTAGGAGGCTTGGCTAGCACACAGTCCTTAGCTCAATATAATTGAACTATTCTGGTGGAAGCTGAAGAAACAAGTGCCCAACGGAAACCACACAATCTCCAAGAGCTTTGAGAATTCTGTCAAGAATAATGGGAAAACATTCCCAATGAGGAAACCTGGACTTTATTCGATTCAATGCTACATCGAATTGATGCAATTATTCGAGCCAACGGCCTCAACACTAATTACTAACCACATACTTTCTGTAATACAAAAGATCACATTCTGTAAAAAAAAAGTTAAATTCCTTTTTAACTTAATAAAAGAACTGGAATTCTCGCTGGTGGCCCAGTATTTTTTCATGGCCTTTTATCAAAATCACTATGCTCAAGATGCTCTATCATCTACTCTACAGCATTAACGAAAATGCAGTGACTTGTTTTCTGATCCTCAAAGATAAGACAATATACTGCTAATCACTCTCGAATTTGGCGTAAAATTATTTAAAGTAGTTAGTTTAATAATGTGGCCTAAAAGTTTTGCACATTACTTTGTTGACGTTATGCTTCCTCACTCAATAATTTTAATAATAAAGATATAAAAGCTAATAAGACATATTAAAGCTAACAGATAAAATAATAGGTAAGATATATTAAAGGCTACAAACAAAAATAGCTTGTCATTAGCAATGCCATTATATATACATATATCTGTTGAAATATATGCCAAAATAAGTAAATATAAGTATCATAAAAAAACCAAATGAAATACTTTAAAACTACAGTTATACTTATCACAATTTGTATAAACAGAATGTATACATTTACGAACTTCTTTTACACTAAGTCCTGAACTGATACGACATTGCAATAAACAAAAAACAAATAAAATAATATTATTAATAATAACAAAAAGGTTCCAGTTTGTCTCATTTTGTACGAAATTATTGCCGATTAAGAATACTTGCATTTATGCGTATATTTTGTACATACTATGCATAAGTTTAGCGTTAATTGCTAAATCATGTAAACTGTTTTGACAAACATATGTAACTAGTGTTAATAGTTCATTTGTTTCTTTTGGTCTCTTTGCAGGTGGTTATTCATTCTTGGAAAGATACTCTCCTCCACGAAGAGTAACATATTTTGTAAACTTTTTCACGAATGCATGTACTGGAGGTGTATGTTACGAAGGTGAAAAATTAGAGAGATGTCTAGACTGTCCGATGAGCAGTTCTATAAAACTTAACCAGTTTGTCGATGACAAACTCTACACTCGCGTATTGTTAGGAAAGGCTAATGTTGGCTACCCGATTACACTAGCTTTTCATTACAAACCCGTAGAAATATATGAGAATGAAGGTCTTGACATCACGATAATTCCAGTCTACAGTGATCTTTCTGATCCAGAATCGAAGTATTTGGTGCGTAATGAAATCAACAAATTCATCACACAAATCAAAGATGCTTCTTTTAATAAGGTATGTATTCAAAACTACTTCTTTTTCCCCTTTCCTTTTAGATATAATTTAAAATAGTGATTATATCTAATCTGTTTCTATCTATCTATCTATCTTAGGTTATTCCTATATGTTTGTCATTACATTAGTGTTTTGATGAGAAACAACAATAACTATGAATATCAAAAGCTCTTTATACTGCTTGAAAATACCCAAATCTACACCAAAATATTTTCTGATTTTTACTGCATCTTTCAGCTGGTGGTGAAGCCATCGGGTGTATTATGGTATGGGAGCAAGTTCGTGTCTTTCCACGACAAGATGGATATAGAAGGAATTACATCAGCTGTAGAAAATGTCATCCGTCACCTGGAAGAAAGAGACTCTGTTCTTGTTGAGGAATACATTCAATTTGAACAGCCGCAACTCCAGCAACGTAAGTCTTTGATTTACCCTCTGTGAGCGTAAACAAATCTTTGTCTAATATCGATACCAATAGTGTAAAGTTAATAATGCATCTGTAATATCACTTTAGACTTGGTCACTAGCATGACAGATCCATATCGCAATGCCAAACACTTGGAAATATAGTACAGGCAAGAATGTATGAGTAGATTGTGGTGTATTTTTAAAATATTTAAAATAATTCTGCTCTTATAGTCATACTCTTCCTACTTTGGAAGCTGAAAAACATTACACACCAAAGTTAATTTCTAAACACGATTTTAAAACCTCTTGTGAATACATACTTGAAGAAATAATGTAAGAAATATTAATTTTTAAAAAATATAAAATATTTATGTTCAAGGTGGATAAACTGCATTTTTCTTTTCTTTTTATTAAGAAAAGAGATTGCCAAACTACAATTCATTATTTAAAAAAAAATGGTTGCAGTACATAGAAGAAATATCTAGTAAGTATAGAGATGTAAAGAAGCTAATGAAATACAAAGTAACACTTTGTAAAAATAAGCGTGGCATAAAAATGCATAGCATAATTTACATTAATATGATTATTTTCATGGATGAAAAAGTCAGAATTTTAAAAAAAATTTCAAGTAAACATACATTATAAATAATTACCATTTTGTTTTTTGTTTTTTAAAACCTCACATAATTAAACTGAATTTATTTACCATGAAAGCATTTCTTTTTTTCGCTTCTTAGAAATTAAAATCAATATGAATGTTTTGCACTTTCAGAAGATGATAGTATGGACACCGTTCGAATCAGAAGCACTGTTTGTCGAACTTCGAGCGAAAAACCCCAAACGACCAAAGTAAGCAGTTGCAAATTTTCACTAAATACAATATTCGAAAATGATTTTTTTTATTTTTTTAGGTTTTCGCACTTTCAACACGCGATAAAAAGTGATAACTCGTTTGTAAAACTGTACCAATAATTATCCAATTTGATTGACATTTTCAGCAACAGTTTTATACTTTATTTTACGGAAGATTAGAAAACAAAATCAAAAATAAAATTCTTAATTATGTGCCTTGATCAGAGATTCATGATATCTGTCATAAAGAAGATAAAGGAAGGGGAAAGAGTGAAGGAAAAACATCTATTTTCAGGGTCACCAAAATTGAAAGTTTTGACTAACTTGTGCTGATAGTATATTTGCTTGTTTAATAATCTTTCGTTATCATTATAATAATGTTAGAAATAAAGTAAATATGAAGAAATCTTTTGGATGCCATGGAATAAGTAAAGGTTTTTTAACTGACCTTAAAAAATATTTTCTCAGAGTGTTCTAATAAAATAAGCTTTTCAATAAAAAAAATTAATTAATAAGTGATGAATTTTTCATTAAAATTAGATAATTCCATGATTTTTTGGTATTTTTGAAAATCTGAGGATAGGGATTTTATGTTTAACTGCGCATGATGTTCAGGTGTCACAAATATTTTATGATATTACTAATGAAAAGTAAAGTAAACTACATTAACAATCAGTCCAATATCTTTATCAATTTTTCTTTTAATGAATTTTCGTATGAAAATAATTAAAAATGCCACATGAAAACAAGGTTTTTATTGTAGTAGGTTTGGTCCTCCGTATTTGATTTGGCTTATGGAGCAATTTTTAAAGCTGGAGTAGAATTGTAAAGCAACTCTTTTCTGACCTTTGAACGTGTTAAGAAGCTGGGGAAAATGTACTTTTCGTTCTAATTTAAGTAAAAAGCAATAATTTTACAAAATCCAGTTAATTAATACTTAAATGTATTTACTTTTTCTTTAAAACTCATGTCTAGGACAAATATATTTTTAAGAGATTTTTTTTAAAGTTTTAATTTCTCACTTGTCGGCATTCATTAAATTAGCTAATCGAAGTGGACAGGTGAGAGTTTGTAATTTATTTTGAAATATCTAAAATCTTTACTTAAAGGAATTAAACTTTTTTTTTACGGATTAATTTTAGGTTATCTCTTAAATAAAACCAGAATTTAACTTTAAATAAGACTTTTTAAATTATTTAAAATGTGTTTCTTTAGCTTTTTTGGTAAGTGCGTTGAGGTACTTATGGTTTTATTACATATCTGTTGAAATATTCGTAAAAGTTCACAATTTTAAATTAAAATTATAAATAAGTTTTATCTTCACGTACCAAAGAAATATTCTATATTGTTTTCGATATATTCATCACATAGACAAAACATGGACATAATGATAGTCCGGAGTTGATTAGTCACTAGACTAGTGTAGAAACAGAGCCAGCCTTAGGAGGTACAGAATCAATTTGAAATAATTTTTGTGGGGTCTATATCGGAAGTCGTCATAGTAGATGTTACTGTTGTTTGTAAAACATGCAATGTAGTATTAGGTGTATGCTGTGCTACAATGCTTTTTTTTGTGTGCAGTTGACAAGTTGAGAGATGTGCGGGTAATGTAACGATTTTCAGCGCGGAAAGTGAAATCAGTGAGCTGAGTTCAAGTTCAGGCCTACTCTGTTGCATTCACTTTTGCACTAATGCCCTTAACAAACACATGAATCCTTCTCTTCTCCCCCGTTCCAGGTCTGAATTAAATAGCAGAATAGATTAGGCTCTCTAGATTTGGACGATGGCCCGATAGGAGAATGTCAACTCTGACTTGAAAAGTATTAAAAAGGCAATGCTCTGAAGGGGCATGATATTAAAAATACTCATTCACTCATTGCTAAGAGATTATCAGTGTAATGGTTGCCAATATTAATGTTTGTTAATATTAGCATTAAGATTAGTAATACCGTTAGTGGCAATAGAGGAAATAGAATAGCAAATAATTTCATTGTCGCTATTTAATAAACAATATTTGATTAGGTCAGTGTAACAACAACTCGAGATCAAGATAGCGGATGGTATCAGAAGAGTTCACGGGTAGGTCAACATGACGTGTATTGTTGCAGTGCGTTGATAAAGCCGGGATGGAAAACTGAGATAGAAAGATATAATTAAAGATAGATAGATAGATAGATAGATAGATAGATAGATAGATAGATAGATAGGAACTGGCTGGGACAGATAAAGAGAAAAGCATTTAAAGCGATACTAATAGATAGACATAGATAACAGAGGAATGCTTGAATGAATTGATTCTAGTTGATTGCACAGTTTGTGTGAATTAAATAACAAGTGGACAAAAAATTCAAAGAATAATACGTAAGCAAAGAATGATAAAACTGAAACGCAACGTACAGTGAGAGGTATGAATAAAAGGCGGAGAATGTGTGTGTGTGTGTGAATGAGATATAAATAAACAAGGGAAGAAAATTAAGGCTGACAAAACAGAAACACATACACACACACACACACAAGATTAAAAAATAAGTTGTCTACAACTTTTAATTACAGATTACGTGTGGCATTGGGAGTTCAGACCAGCCAGTCAACGGTGACAATTCAGTTCCGCATTCTTTAGAACTGTCACTAAAGAAATTTGGTTTTTCGGACGTTCAAATCAAGGAGATTCGCAAAGATATTGAACTCCAGTCAGAAAAAACTATGGCTTCTATCATCAAAAATGAGAAGAACTTCAGTGAAGAGAAGCGCGGAGAAGTTGGTGCTCAAACTGACGTTATCGGTAGGTTATCATTAGATTTTTTCACATATGACTGAAATTTATGACATATACATATTCTGAAAAGTGACATCTCAACACATCTTTCTATACTATTCACGTGTTAATTACGATTTTTAAAAATCAAAATCAATCAGATACAGAAAGTGAACCGGGTGTAGTAAGAGACAACGGAAAGTGTGACACAGAGATGCGAAGCCACATCGGACTAACGAAAGAAGACTTCCAGACACTAAGTAAAGTATTAAGTTATAGGAAAATGTTATAATCAAACAAAAGGGTGTTGTCATATCTTTCCTCCTATATGGCAGTGGATAATTTTGTTAATGATGAAGAAGGGACTTGAAGCGACAGAGATGTGGTTTTACATCCTGGTACTGAGAATATCATGGGCTGAACACATGAGCAGTGGTAACGAGTCAAACGTTGCTCAGAGCGATAAGAAACGGGGAGTTGTTGAGCCATGATCACTCACGTCCTGAAGGGACACAATATATAAAAGAACATATAATATATAAGACATTAGCGATACTTAACCTTCATTGAGCGCAGTAGTCTTTGTTTGGATAAAAGATTTATCGTTTGGTGGTAAGTATGCTGTATACTCAGTTCTTGGATGGGCTGAACATTTGTCCAGAATAAGAAGTGTTTTAACATATTCTGACAGGCTTGCAGATGTGCAGTGTGCTCAGATTTAAAAGGTGTATCGAGACCCTCTATTGGTCAGAAAATCGCTGGTTTATGTGTATTAAAGCTTCAGCAACTGAGTTTTAAATCTCCAAATTATATTCCCGCAGGTCTCACCCAGCAAAATCATGACCACAATTTGTTAAAAAACTTGATAGTATACTTGAAAGTAGATTGAGAGGTTTATTGGTTATCCGCACGGAATCGGGGAGTTAAGTGTGACTGAGGCTATTTATATCTATTTTTGTGCTAATAACTTTGGAAAAGATGAATTCACCACCTTGTGTTCGTCCCTCTGTACAGTAACTCTACATAGTACCTGATTACTCGAATAAGAAAGAAAGAAATCTGTCAGTACCACTTTTAACTTTGAGAAAGTTCAATCACTTTGTAGGATAATGCTTAATAAAATAGAATTTGTTCATTGGCACAATATATTGGGAGTAGGTCCCTCAAGCTAGCTTTATAGATCGTTAATATTGAGTTCGATCCTTAGCTTAGTAAACAACAACAAACATGAGCGCTATCTGAAATATTCTCGATGTTGCATGGCATTAAAAACTAATTTAAAGAAATATATATTTTATTTTTGTAAGATTTTTAAAACCGAGAAATAACTTTTGTTTACAAATATGTTAAAATGGCAGATTTTTACTGAACAAACAATTCTGATGATAATTTCTGTTTTAAATACACCCCTTTTGTTCACTGGAAATAGAAAATTTTAAATTCTTTAGTTTTCAATTAAAGCTAAAATGAAAGTTTCAGGAAGCTTTTTCATTTTTAAAAATTCATTTTAAACTTCACGTATACCGAATTAGTGGTGGTACCTACTTTCATGGTAATTGTTTTGATGAACTTACCACTATGGTACTTAGACTTTATGAATTTAAGCATAATCCTAGATTGGCGGCAAGAACTCATCATTTTACAGTTGAAATGTCTAGAGATAACTGTAAGTTCTATGTTAACAGTTACTTCTAACGCATTTCTTTCTTGTGGAACTCCCAGCTTCTTGCTTCTCAGTTAACTTTGATCTTCAAAAATTTAAATGCAATGTCAATCGTTATCTTTTGTCTTTCTTAATTCTTGTTCTTTTCTTGTTCTTTCTCTTTAATAGTACTATTCTCATATTCTCTAACATTCAGTAAACCTTTATTGACTTGTTTGGGGCAAAATGATAAAAATAATCCTGGGAGATAACGAAATTAATGATAGTCTTCTCTCAAAAGATGACACAAGAGGTCATATGTCTACAGGTCACAGGTTGGTCGTGTTTAGCTATAAAACTTCGTGTAATTGCATGCACATTTGCAGTTAGATATAAATGTAATGATAAATTATTAAGATACAATCAAATATCGAATTAAATTGTAGCAATTAAAATAAGCGAAACTAGCAAATTGGTAATACATCGCTTTTGAAGCCAGATTTTTTAAAATTGATTATTTATTTTTCTACTCCTCAGGAATCGACCTGATTTTGAAGAAACAAGCTGAGAAATACGAAGTGGTTGTGATTGAGGTCAACAGTCATGATTGCATGATCAATTGCCAAGTGTACGAGTTTATGAACCCGAACACGTTGCACGAGGCAGCGACAGAACTAGTTCAGACGATGATCGCTCGATCTAATGCTTTCCTAATGAATGACAAAACCTTACTAATAATCGGGGCTGGCAGCTACAGTAAATGGTTTATCTTTGAAGAGGCAATCAAGCTTGGAATCAAAGTAAGATGTATTTTATAATAGATTAACAAGAAAATATTTAAACAGTTGTCACGAATGCAACTTTGCCCCTTAATATCTGTAAGTTGTGAATCGAGATAACTGTTTTTGCGAAAGATAGTGGTAATAGTTTCTCGTTATCTTCTCCGCAGTTTTGAGTCCAGAGTTACCATTCTCCCAGACTGATTGACTGATGAAAGCTAATGAGCCTTGTATGTTCTGTTATTTAATTTTGGGTTAGAAGACTGATTCGTTTCCAAAGTGAAAACAATATCGTTGGCTGGAATTTGAACACGAACTTCAATTTTCTGAAATATTATTTTAAAATATATTAATGTACCATAAGTCATGCCCAGATCTATATCAGTTGTACTCTAGCAGCTGGCAAGTCAGTGCGAACACCGTCTAGGTTAAGAATAGCAAGGTGACGTAAATTTTCAGAGTTCGAACGGAGCATGAAAGTGGATGCTAGATGAATGGGACATGCCATTTCAGAAATTATGTGCAAATTTGGCAATCTTCGATCTACAGTGTTAGTTGTATACGGAATTACCACTAACTGTACAGTTTTTCAGTTGTCCTTTACGCTTGTCACGAAAGGCGTCTGGTAACAGGGAAGTGACATCGTCGCAGATCGCATCCACACACAATTCAAAAGACACCAGGCACATATTCAGCAGATCAGATTAGCAGTCATTAGGTTCCATGAAATATAAGAACATAAACCCAACCAGGGTACGCCTATGTTGTGGATTCCGTGAATGGAATCCTGCACAAATAAATAAACAACGCCAGTAATTGAGATAGAAAAATAAGTGTATTAAACGTAAGAATACAGACTTGAAGTGAAGATTAGTAGTCCAGTAATGCGGGTTAGTAGAAAGTATATGTACAAGTCTCTGTAAGTAAAGCCGTAATCATCTCTCTCTCTCTGGACTCTTGTATAACTCTCTGAGAACACCCTGTGACTGTCTCCGTATCTCTCAACCTGTCTCAACGTATCTCCACGTATCTTCATGTATTTCCACGTATCTCAACGTATCTCGATATTTAACAGTTCACCCACGAGGAATGAATGTGGCACAAGGCCGAGTTTAACGTGGGTTTCTCTGAGCTCGTAGGCTCAGCCGAAAAATATCCCCTTTGAACCCGCATAAGCGGGTTCGGGAACTGTCTATCTCTCCGGACGAAACTTTGTCCTTCGGCAAAGCCTCGCCCAGGTTCCTCTCTGCCAAAGCAGAGAGTATGACAGACGTCGCACACAGTCCGAGACTGCGTCTCAACGTATCTCAACAGCAAGTATTCTCTCTGTTAGTATAAGTATACTTTGGACAAGTCCATCTTATATAAAAAGGGGAGAACCCCACAACACCCCCCCTTAGCTTCTTTTTTGGGGGAAGTTAATATTTTTTCGCCTCTGGTCTATTATTAGTGGTTCCGTGAATTTTCTTTTTCGGCGTGTTCTTCTGATCTCCGTGGCTACTTGTGGTTTTTGAATTTCGAAGGCTTCGAAAATCGCCTCCATCGCATCTTCATTTTCGGAAGGTGACGAATTTGGCTCCTCTACCCGTCTTTTCTGTATCTGATTTATGCGTCTCCTGTGAGTGAATTTTTCACCTTGGATTGTGTATAGAACATTTCCCAGTCTGTTTATTATCGTACCTGGTTCCCAGTATGCTATATTATTCTTGAACATTCTGAAATAGACCCGTTCGCCTGGTTTGAATGATCTTTTAGGCATTATTGGTGTATGCCGGTTTTTATTTTTGTAGGTAATAGTTTATCAAAAACAGACCGTATTTTGCGGGCAAACATCACTTCAGCTGGCGAAAGGCCAGATGGTGTGTTTCCGTTCGGGGTGATTCTGTAGACTTGTAGAAACTGTTGTATGGCTCTTACTATTGGTACGTCCTCTGCTTTTTTCAAGGCTCTCTTAAGCGTGTCCACAAACCTTTCGGCTTGCCCGTTAGATCGTGAATGGTATGGTGCTATTTTAATATGTTCGACTTGATAAGTCACACGAAATTCTTGAAAGTCGCTCGAGGTGAATTTGGATACCATTATCCGTTACAAGGCAATCTACAACGCCGAATCTTGCGAATAACTCGTGTAGACAATTAATAGGGTTTTCCGTCGTAGGGTTTTTGTATCTGAAAACTTCTGGCCACTTGCTAAAGCTATCTACCGTTATCAAGTAGTAATATCCATCTATGGGTCCTGCATAGTCCGCAATGATTCTGGACCAAAGTCTGTCCACCTTAGGCCATGGTTTTTGTATAATAGGTGGTGCCTTTGCTGCCGCAGCACAGCCTCAACATTTTTCTACCATTTGAGTAATGTCGTTATCCATATTAGGCCAATACACGAAACTTCTCATTAACGCTTTCATACGATTTTCCCTGGGTGCCCTAGATGAAAGTCCTTCAGAATTCGGCTTTGTAAAGATTTTGGTATGACCACTCTTTCATTATAAAGTAATACGTGATTACAAATTGGAAAACACTCCGATAGATTTCTTTTTCTTCTATTCTTCTCTTTGTACTTTGTATGAATTCATCCATTTCAGCTTCTCTTCTGATTTCTAACAAGGTCACTGGTAATTCCCTTACTGTATTGTTTAGAACTTTACTAATTTCGTCTTCGGCTCGCAAAGCCGCTATTACTGAGTCTTCCAGAGGTTCGCATTTCGCAGGTACCAATCTAGATAATCCATCCGCATGACCAATTTTCTTCGACGGTAGGAACTCTAGTTTGAAATTATAATTCAATAATATAGTTCCCCATCTCAGAAGTCTGTTGGCTGTGTAAATTGGTAGTCCTTCTTTTCGATCCGAATATAGTGAGAAGAGGTTTATGGTCAGTTTGAAGAGTAAACTCTCTTCCATATATGTATCTGTAGAAGCGAGTTATGGCGAATATTATGCCTAACGCTTCTTTCTCAGTTTGCGAATAATTCCTCTCTGCTGGTAACAACGATCTAGATGCGTGAGCTATAGGTTTCCTTGTGCCATCCTGCATCTTGTGTAATATACAAGCTCCCACACCGTGTGAGCTTGCGTCACAAGCAATGATAATTTCCAGTTTGGGATCAAAATGTGTCAGTGCTAGATCAGACGTTAATTTCTTTATGATCTCCTTAAAAGCTTTCTGACAATCTTCCGTCCAGTTCCATTTGTTATCTTCTTTTTTTTTTAATAATTTATTGAGGGGAGCCTTCAATTTGTGCATATTTTCAATGAATTCAACGTAATAGTCTGCTAAACCGAGAAAGCTTTGCAACTCTGCGACATTTTTCGGCTCAGGCATATTTTTTATTGCAGATGCCCTATCCGGATCTGGTTTTCTGCCACTTTCATTGATTATATGGCCTAGATACTTGATTTCTTTTATCGCATTTTTTCTCCTTCACTTTTAAACCCAAATCCTGAATTCTTTTAAAGACTTCTTTAATATGCGTTGCGTGTTCTTCTACATTATCGCTTTTGATTAAAATGTCGTCTAAGTAAGCAGTAGCAAAGTTATGTCCTATGAGCATGGTATCTATAGTCTGTTGAAAGATTGACGGTGCTACTTTTATACCAAATGGCAATCTGTTAAATTTGTAAAGTCGTTTGTGAGTATTGATGCATAAAATTTTTGTACTTTCTTCTTCTACTGGAATCTGAAGATAAGCTTCGCTTAAATCAATCTTAGAAAATACCTTACCACCGTTAAGCTTAGTAAATATTTCCTCCGGGCTTGGCAATGTGTAGTGATAATCCTTGATAGCCTTATTTAACCCAGTCGAGAAATCTGCGCAAACACGTGTTTCTCCGGATTTTTTTTTACGTAGACCACTGGTGGCGCCCATTCACTGAATTCAATTTTTGAAAGGATTCCAGTTTGTATCAATCTAACTCCTTGTCAATTTTTTCTATGATTGCGAAAGGCACGTTTCGCTTTTTCTTGAATACTGGCTGAACATTTTCCTTTAGTTCAATTTTAGCTGCAAACTTATTACATCGTCCCAAACCGCTCGAGAATACTTCGGAAAATTGCCTGTGTAGTTCTTTTAATTTTGTAGCTTCTGACGGTTCGCACTCTACTTTCTTACCAAATGAGCTAATGGGTAAATCCCATACGTCAAATTTTTGCATCCAATCCGTGCCCACCAAATTTTCTGTGTCTTTCATTACAAATATCTTCAATTATGTCCCATTTTTCCACAAGCTAAACATTTCTTGTATTTAAATCGACAGTCTTTATTCTCGTGGAATCCACCACATCTGTAACATGCAAATGGGGGGGGGCGCTTATATTTGCTTTGATCTCTGTCATTAATCGCCTTATACCTTGTAATTTTTTCTTTATCGTAAAATTTTTGTTTTTTTTTCTTTTTGAGAAACGTAACTTTTTGTTCAACTTACGTATGTGTGCACTCCCGATTCCTCGATGTCCTTAGAGTCTTTTTTTATACTCAAGCATTTTTGGCAGTCTTCTGACAATTTTTGTAGCTTCGTGAGCCTTAGCTGAGACTAATACCTGTACGAAAATAAGACACTTAAAATTGTCCGGAGTCAATTCTGCTAATTTAAAGTCATGTTTGTTCACAATTGCAGCGAACGTGGAGTAGTCCTCATTTTCGCTTTTTACCAGGTTGAGACATTTCCACCTTTTGTAAAAAAGTGAAGTCTTTGGACTGAAGAGCTCAGCAAGGCATGTAACTGCCTCGTCAAACGTCAAATCGTTTGTCTTTTTCGGTAGGATATAGTACAGAAATTTTGTGTACTCCTCTGTTCCCAATTTCCTGAGTAATAAACGTAGCTTCTTAGCTTCCGTCCAATTTTGACAATCAATGTTGAAAATGTCTTCATGACGTCTGTAATAGTCCCCGAAATTTTTGTCATCTTCTGGAGAGTATTTAAATGTTTCTACTGTGTTCCAAATTGCGTCTTGAGAAAAAGTCGCCTCTTTCTCGATATTCTTCTGTTGTGCGTTAACTGTTACTTTTAATATTAATTCCTGGAGTTGCATTTGTCTTTCTTCATTTATTAGCTGTCTTTCCTCACTTCTTATAAACTCAAGCATTGCTTTTTGAAAATCTTCCATTTTTTAGGAAATGACGAAATTTTTCTTCTATCTCTTGTGTACGTTCTTTTATGTTCGTCGTTAATTTGTTGTTCTTTGTGTGAGTTCCTTCGAGTCTTGTCACTAAGTTGTTGTGGTCGACGTGACTCTCGAATTTCCGTCGCCAAGTTATTGTGTTGGCGAACGAAAAAAAAAATTTTTTTTCAGTACGTGTCCGTACTCTTCGTCGTCAAGTTGTTGTGTTGACGAGAGAGAATTTTTTTAAGTCTTCGTGAAGTGCGAAATCCTCGTCGCCAAGTTGTTGTGGATTCCGTGAATGAAATCCTGCACAAATAAATAAACAACGCCGGTAATTGAGATAGAAAAATAAGTGTATTAAACGTAAGAATACAGACTTGAAGTGAAGATTAGTAGTCCAGTAATGCGGGTTAGTAGGAAGTATATGTACAAGTCTCTGTAAGTAAAGCTGTAATCATCTCTCTCTCTGGACTTTTGTATAACTCTCTGAGAACACCCTGTGTCTGTCTCCGTATCTCTCAACGTATCTTCACGTATCTCAACGTATCTCAACAGCAGGTATTCTCTCTGTCAGTATAAGTATACTTTGGACGAGTCCATCTTATGTAAAAAAGGGAGAGCCCCACAACAGCCTATTAACAATATGACACTAGACACATCGTAACACGCTCGTCACTTTGCTACTTAAATCCAGGAAGACTGGTAAAGTGTAGCGTGGGCGATGATTCTAGTTGATAGGTTTTGTGCATGACGCAGGCTTCAGTTGTCAATAAAGCACTATTCAAGCTGGTAGTGCTTCCATAATACGTGGCACGTTTTGGATCTGCCTAAACACGCCAGACTGGTGGTCACCACATTGCACTGCTTCTTGAGCATCTGCACACTTTCATGTACTCCATGTAGTCAAAAAAAAAAAAAAAAAAAAAAACAATGGATTACTCCAACATGGTAAAGCATCGTATCATTGGGCCATATATCCCAGAATGGATTTTAGGAATATTCTGAGAATTTTGGCAAATGGTGTGGCCATTACTTTAGTCCGACATGATCCTAATCAAGGACGTGGAGAAGAGATCTATTCATACTTAACAACTCTCCGGGTATCTTTCGATCACTTGTGGGATCGATAATATGTGGTAATTTTGCACTTTATTTGGTTAGAGTTAATACACGATGGACGTATAACAAATGACTTTTGGCACGAGCGCATGGTGGTTAACATATTCTTCTATGTCTTTCCGACTGAACAGTTAAAAATTGGTATTAACTGATCAATGTAATATTTTCAGAATATACGAGTAATATATCGTGAGAGTTTCAGCTTGTAACATCTATCCATATTTTAAAATATTGTTGATAATTTACTCTTATTATGCAAAGAAAGTGCAGCGTATTTATGTATAAATAGACTTAAATTACACAGGCCACAATATATATATATATATATATATATATATATATATATATATATTTAATACGATGCCCTATATACCTGAATATTTTTTATTACTTCATATGTTAAAATGGATTCCTTGGCAGCTTATAATCTTCTTCAATCTTTCGAGCATTGATCTGGTTCATTTTCTCCTGTTTCGATTTTACCATTTTAACTGCTGTTTCGACTTTACTTTCAGTTGTTTTATTACTTTTCAGATATCTTACTTGCTTGAATATTGTTTTCCATTCTCATATTCATCTCTTTAAATGCTGGAGTACTATTCTATTAATTCGGTATCATTGAAACGATTTTTGACAAAGTAGTCAATACTCAGCTTTGCAGAATGAAGGAGCATTATCTTGTATGAATATACACTTCAGATGAAAGTTTATTATTTCTAAACTGCACTACTCAAAAATACCATCAACTTTGAACAGAACTATAATTTTACTACCTACAATCTGTCAGTCAGTTATGTGCCATACGTGATACACGCTTAGGCGATCATGACTGAGAGACAGATTTTCCCTCAGTTGGTTGCCATTTCTTTCTGCGATAGACCAGTTACCATCCAAGGCTATAGAACCCAGTCTGTCCTGCTGCTTATCCATAGCTGGGAGGAGAAAAAAGATTCATACCTTTTCCCAAGGGTATTAGCGCGTAAGTGAAGGTAATAGATTCGACTAGATTTCGAACTCGGCTCTCCGATTCGTCAGTCCGAGCTGCTATCCATGGCCCCACCGTATACTGGCCCCCAACTTTACCTGTAATTCACTGTTCTTCTAATTCGTATTCGTTTACTGTTTCCATAAAGGATCCAAACATTAGTCTAGCTATCAGGTTCATCTAATGTAGTTCTAGATTCACCATTAAAAGTATTAATTAGAAACCAATTTTCATGTACTTTTTCGCTTAACTTAAATTTCATGATGACATTTACCTACAGGTGAAACTTATGGTTGTTGTCATGTATTTAACCAATGTTCTTAGTAGTCTACAAGGTTTTTCTTTGTTTATATTCTTCAAGTTTGAAGATATTTTATTGAGAGTTAAGGAATTTTTTGTTTTTAATTTTCTTGAATCTCCTCTAGCGACATTTAAAAATCCATTTTTTGCTTCTTCTTTTAAGTTTTCTCTATTACTTTTTGATTGTTTTTTTATTCTCGTTCAACTTTTCCCAATTTCTAAAGCTGTCTCCTCATCACTCAATCACTTTACAATGCCTTCCTTGTTATGTTAAAGGTATATCTTTATTACGAGCCATGACAAATTTGATATATATATATATATATATATATATATATATATATATATATATATATATATATATAGTCATCCACAGATAGACTGTTTCGCTGTATCATAGCTCATCAGTGTGACTAGACATCCGATTGTTTCAAGCCGGGATCGAAACCCGACCGATTTTGACATCAGTCAAAAAACAATCTCCAAGCTGTCGTCGCACGGAAAGGGAAATTTTGACGTTTTTACTATACGGAAGACGTCAGTGGCTAGGAGAGCTCGATTCTAGTTGAAGAGCATTGCACTAGCAGCAGCAACATCCACTGTTTATAAAATCACCCCTTCCTCTCCGAGAGCACAATCGAATTATTTCGAGAACATAAATAGTCATCCACAGACAGTTTCGCTGTATCACATGACTATACCATAGTATATATTTGTTTCCAATATAATGAACAGCCGTCGAGTTGCATAATAAAATGTCACACAAATATATCTAATAAAAACAAATAATATAAGCTAATATTCGTATGGTATATTTATCATTTAATTATAATTATATATCTTGACATTTTATTGCTGACACCAGTTAATTAATACTGATTTTATTTTGAAAGCACTGATTTGCATAATGAAATCTGACGGTGTAAATTATTTGCTTATCAAATAAGGGCTGTTGTGTTAAGGATTCTATGTTTATTCACATTTTCAGAATATTAATGTTCTGATAGTGGTAGAAATAAACATTGCAGTGTCAATAAATTAATTTTATCGATTACGTTTTAAAATTGCCTAATGAATAAAATTTTAGACATGTATTTTTGCTCGCTTAAAATACTGATTATAGAAAATAATTATGCTTGGGTCACCTTTTCGATTTATTTTGTTCATTAGCTACAGATAAAATATCAGTAATCTTAATCATAAATACCTTCGGAAAGTAACGTCTAATTTTGATCTGCAATATTCAGTTGATATATCTATCTATCTATATACGAATGATTAAAAGTGCCCAGGGATAGAGTGTGTGTAAATATAAAAGTGAACCTTAAGGTCAACATCATCGCGACAATCTGTTTCATGCTTGAACGCAATCTTCAGGCGTATGAAGAACAGAAAATGCCTATTGAGTCTTTTGATGAGCTTCACCTGGTATTGAAATAATCATTCAAATGAAAACTTGTAAAAGAATTTACTGAAATTAATATTAAAATCCAGCTACTTCCAAGGAATGATTAAAATCCAAAAATATTCAGTATGCCTTTTGCATTGTTTCAGTTTGAAATGTAAATAGGTTCATGTAATATGACATTGAAATAGAAATGAATGTAACGTAAACATGTGATACTAAACGAATTATATTTATATTTTTTATCGTTCATATTGTTAACTAGAGTCCTCTAATAATATTTTTCTTTCTCCCAATTCAGGTGGTTCTGGTTGATACTGATTTAGATGATTCCATGCCGAAAGTCTCCGTTTTCATACAGCACGACTTAAATAATTTAAGAAATATTGAACAAATATCAGAAGAAATTATCAAAAAAGTGCATTCCAAACAAATAAATATCGATGGCTGTGTCTCCTTCTGGGAGGATTTCGCGCCTATAGCAGCGGCCATTTGTGATAAGCTGAAGCTGGTTGGTTCTAACTTTCGGGCGGCGATGATTGCAAAGAATAAGTTCCTCACCCATCAGATTCTATCCAAAAGGCAAGGCGACATTCCACATTTTCCAAGAACTCATCTGTACTCTTGCAAGACACGTCTGATCAGTTCTCGAAATGATATACATAAAGTTGTTAATGAAGATTCCAGTATATTTCCTGGTGTTTTAAAGTTGCTTTATGGTTCTAGTGCAGTAGGAGTTCATCTTGTAGAAAACAAAAATGAGTGCCTGCAGTATTTCGATGAAATACAGGAAGAACTTCATGTTTATGGGGTTGGACTCGGCTTCGGTTCGCCAATGATGCTCACAGACTATATCGTCGGTTCCGAACACGATGTTGACTTGATTATTTTTGAAAGGAAATTGATCGTGGCGTTTGTCTGCGACAACGGGCCTACGAGAGTACCAGACTTCGTCGAGACAGTGGCAGTGATGCCAAGCATTTTGGATGAAGAAATTAAAAACCAACTCATCACTGCCGCTTATCAATGTTGTTTAGAAATCGGTTTTGAAAATGGAATCTTTAATGTTGAATTAAAGATGACAAATTTTGGGCCTAAACTACTTGAAATAAACGCTCGCATGGGAGGTTTCTATTTGAGAGACTGGATAAAGCAGTGTTATGATGTCGACATATTATTATCCACCTTTTTGATAGCACTAGGCATCCGCCCGCATCTCCGGCCAAAGGTGGCAACTAAAAGTATCGTCGGTGTCATGTGCTTGCCATCGGAACATCTAGACATATTTAGTGACACAGATAACATAAAGCAATTGCAAGAAAAACACGAAAACGGTTCAATCCGGTTCAACAAGTTTGAAAAAGAGCCATGTTATGAGAAGTTCGAACAAGCTTTTGCAAATATTGCCGCTGTTGGTCCAAATGCAACAGCGGCTAAAACAGCACTTATAGATCTCTGCGACAAATTCCGAATAAATACACTTACGTACAACGTGGAAAATATGCTTTCATTTGTACCGTCTTGATGTTTCTCACTGTAAACACAGGTTTTGTGCAAAGTGACTAGACAGTTCGTAAAACTTCGAAATATTATTGTAAAATAGATTATTTGAAGTTTACATGCAAATTAAAGTCGAACTATAAATGTTTTCTTTGACAAGATTGCAGTCCATCCAACATTTTGATAGTTGTATTAGTAGCTTTAATAAGAACATTACAATCTGGTGCTATTAAAAAAACAAGACCTGCATTTCTCTGGCAGATCATCATGCTAAATGTCAAAAGAATCGAACTTTAATTCCAAGTGAACATTCTCCTTATAATAATGAGTAATTCAAAGAAAAGTCTTCCATCTGCAATATTATCAATGCTCCATTAAAATGTCAACAAAACTATTTATTTAAATCACATACCGCAGTAAAGGAGAAAGATATTCATCAGAATATTTTTGTTTTTATTCTACTTATCAGTCAATAATTTATTAATTCCATTATTACGGCATTGCCACGTAACCATCTATTACTCTTCTATTTTCAGTCATTCACTAACTATGCACTTTTTTATGCAAGTTTTTATTCGAAAGTATTTATTTCGGTCGATTTTTAAGAAAAAACGAAACAAATTGATAGTTTAAATTACATTAACTGAAACAAAGAGTGTCGGAAAATACATTAATCCGTTTTACTCTTCTTTGCCTTCTGCTATAAATTATTATTATTATTTCTTTCTTTCTTTCTTTCTTACTGTCTCTCTGGCATCTGTCCTCTCGGTTTTTACGAATACAAATTTCAAAACTGAAAACGAACGAGTTTGCAAATCATGCTCTCTGAATAAAAGTGATTAGAATATGCAGCTTGTAATGACAATAATTGTAAAATAAAAATTAAAACATTCTTGTTTTTACTATTGTTTGTGACTTACATTACTGATATGTTTCACTTTATTGCCATCTCCCAACTTTTCCACTTAAATATGTCGGAAACATTTAAATGAGGGGTAATTTAAAAAAAAATAATTATCAGTAAAATACGCGACCGATAATTACAATTAAATAACTTGTACATCATAATTTAGTAAAAAATGTTGGATTTAAACATGTGCATATATAAATACATACATTGATACATACATATATATCCTCATCATATAAGGTTAAGCTCTTCGCAATGAAGTTGCCTCTAACTCCACATTAAGATAAGGGCCATCTCGTCCGCGACTTCCCCATTCTCATGAAACATAAAATTTATGATATCTTTATCTCGGTTCGAGAAATTGCCAGACGTATCAAAAGCCTTGTCTCCACGAAAGCTAATGGTTCGGATAAAATTCCTGTGGTTGGTTTTAACCCAAAAGCCATCTTGGCAACGTTGTTTAAACGTGGCCCGAAAGAGAAATGTTTCCCAAGTCTGTGGAAGGTGTCATCTGTGTGCCTCGTTTGCAAAAATGCGAGTGGGCGCTCATCACAATATCATCCTTATTAGCCTACTTAGTGTCATCGGCAAATTATTTGAGTCTAAAGTTGTTGTTCACCTCAACAGAAAAAACCTTCTGGGCGACATACAGTATGGATTTCGCTTCTCTAGGTTCTCTTGCTTAACAATCATTATGCATAGAATCAATGAAACGCATAATAATAAGCATCACGGGAGCGATCACCTTACATGTCTCAAAGGCTGTTGACAAGGTGTGGTATAGAGGGTTGATTCATAACTCTCCAGATATGAAATCTCCGGGAGAGCTTTCTCAATTATCAAATCCTTCCTATCAGATAGGCCCAGGAAGGTCGTCGTTAATGCCCGGTCCATTGAAGCCCATGCAGGCGTCCTCAAGGCTCTCTCTTCAATCTTACCCTCATTTTGTGATTAATGATCATGCTACTCTATTAACGATCTGCATAAGAGCATTCTCAGGTCATTTGTAAATATATTCAGGGAGGATAACATCTATTATGGGTGCATCTCCAAAAATTTAAATGATCAGAGCATGGTAGATGATGTGTCTTCCTACCTATCCATCACAGCACAATAAGAGTGGTTTGCCTCCAAAACCAAGCTAGTTACTTTTAATTATTACTAAAGAGACTTTAAACATTTTCTAGTTATGAACGCTTATAGTCTCAATGAGGATCTCTGCCTTGAATGTCTATTGGGATTCAATTTTACTTCAGACCTCAAGTGGAACTTGTATAAACGAGCCATTGGTAAAGATGCTGGAAAATTGGTCCGTTCCTTTTACAGCTGTAGAAAGTACTTGACTCTTCCGGCCTTGCTATCTTTAGAAGAGTCAGATCACGCCCCAAAATCGAACATTTCTGCTATACCTGTGCTGGAGCCTTGACAGAGTTCAAAAGCGTTTACTCGGCCTTGTGAGTGATTAATTATTTCCCTCTCTACAACTCCTTTCCCACAGACAAAATGTTGTTAGCCTGTCAATACACTATCACTATGTTCATGGCAAATGTTCAGACGAGATAAATTACTTAGTTTCACTATTTCAAACCTTTACGAGTTGGGCCCATCATGCCACTTACACAGGTTCGACTCATCCACATTCCCTTCGTGTTCCATTGATAAGGAGAAAGTTCCACTCAGACAAATTATTTTCCAGAACAGTTACATTGTGGGACAGTATGTAATCTTGTGATACTATCGGCACCTAGTTCTTGATAATTCGTATTACCAGTCACCATGCAGGGATGAGTAAATGGGCGATAAGTTAGTAGAGAAAGAGCCGAGCTGTTAGAATAACATAGCAGAAATTGCATTGAGCCAAGTATTACCTATTTACCTACCCACTTAGATGAGCAGGCGAAACGCTGAATAAAACATTTGTTTTATAATATTGGAAACAGAATTCGCGTTCTTATTCCTCGACATGGCGTTTGTCTTTCATTTTGTTACCTTGTGAATAGCTTTTTCTCAGCTTTCGGTGCACACCGACGAGAACAAGAATCGAAATGCAACCGTAAAGTAACCATTGATCGGTTGGTGGAATGCTTGAGCAAGAGTCGATGTGTATGTTTACAGTTTGAGATTCTCATATAAACAATTATTATTATTAATTATGACTAGCATACAATTTCAGCTTAATATTGTATATATCACTAAAAACATCATTAATAAAAATTAACGATACTATTTGGATGATTTGTTTTCTACGGCTTATCAACCCTTTGCAGGTTATTTAAAGCCAAAAAATATTTTTAGATTGTAACAATTTTTTTAGATAATAATGATTCAGTGCTACAAGTCTTACCAATTAACGCATAGTACGGAAGAAAAGGAGGGTTCATAACTTTCCTAAGGGTATTTGAGCGTAAGTGGATATAACGAACCCAACTGGAAGTGGAACCCGGCTCTTCGATTAAAAATTCCCAACTATTCACCATTACACCATCCGCACATCCAAGCTTGCAGCAACTAGTATCCCCAAGCTCAATGATACTAGTTTAGAACGCTTTATCAAAAGAAAAGTTAATTAAAAGTTTCACAGCAATTACGAATACTACGAGTGTGCCAACAAAACAAATATGGTACCTATCAAGGTCGTGAAATGGAATGGTGGGTATAGGTTAGATTTGTTCTTCTGTAATTTTGTTAAGATCTCATAGCTTATCGAGCAAAACAGCTGAGGTGTTCAGTGAGATTTTTGGGGGGTGAGAGATGTACGTTCTAATTTCACCGATAGCTTATCCTTTTTCCATTCGCACTGTGTACTCACTGCTTTAGATTTTGACGGTTTCAGTAAAGTTACAATAAAATTCATCTAAAAAATTAATATGAAACTAATAGTTCGTGATAATAAGGGTTAACAATGATTATTTACTAAAATAAAAGGAACACTGAAGTTACATATTATTTCTTTTTACCTTTTACTTTTAACGGAAACGTATTTATTCGTTCCTCTTTTAATAATTTTTCAGTAATGCCTATTCATAGGAGAAAAATAAACAAACAATTGTGTGATCTTATTTTAAAGTCCTCTTGCTAACTGCCAAATAATTACTAAATGTTGATAATTAGAGTCTAACAGTAATTCTTGTTAAAATAACCATAACGAGTTTCACCAATAATAGGATTATCAGCTTTCTTCCTCTTATTTTCCTCAACCGTCACTCTTCCAGTACGTCTCAATATATCTGATTCTGTTCTTTTCCACCTTTGTCTGTTCATACAGTATATTTTTTCTATTTCTATCTAGCCAATGAATTAATTAACAGATAATAATCACAATTGTTATTGCTTACAATAAGATAACATAATTGTAATTTTGGGGAAGAAAATTAATTCTAAAACGTTTTTAGGAAGGGTAATTTTTCCACTTGACAGTAGGAAATCATAATGGAAAATCGACATGGTGTGCGACCGGGATAATAGTAATTTGTCTGAATTTAGCTGACTTTCAGTAGTTGAATACCAGAGTTGATGACTGGCTGAATTTCATATTTGGGGATTAATATCACACACACGCACACACGCACGCACACACACA